AATAGAGTAGTATTCTAGGAGCAGAAAGGAGAAAGGGAGAGAAAACCTGAGGGAGAGAAGAAAAAGGAGAGGGAAAGATAGGATGGGAGAAAAAACTAAAGGCAATAAATGTCTTCCCATCACAGTCTGGCAACTATGAAGTGCAAAGAGAAACACTCCTTATCCCTTTTTTCTAATGATTATTTGCAGCTGGTATATAGTTTTATATATTTTGCTGAAATTATATTTGATATAATTTTATACTAAAAAGACCTTTTTTAATATAAAGTGGCTTTACTGGGCTCTTATTCAGATACCATATGCCTATTTAAAGCATAATTCCAATAGGTTTAATCAGAGAATTGTGCAACCATGATTACAACAATTTTAGAAAATTCTTATCATCCCTAACAGGAATTTTATAAGCCGTAATGGTCCTCACCATTCTATACAGCCTCAGGAAACTAATGCTCCATTTTTATCTCTATAAATAGCTGTTCTAGATAGTTCATGGAAATGTAAATAAGGAGTATGTAGTCTTTTATGAATAGCTTCTTTCACTTGGCATGCTTTCAAGGTCAATCACTGTTGCAGCAACATATATCAATAAGCTTTTGGTTTTATATTATCATTTAAAAAATGACAAAATAATTTTGACTCGTCAGTCTAAATGAGTCTGCTAGGGAGGCATAGTATAAAATTTCTCAGTATCGGAAGACTAACATCAAAATGAAGACATTTCAAATTAATTGATAATACATTATTTGTCAATCATTTATCCATAAGTAAACGGTTTCCTAATTATTACCTCCATTTCTAAGGTAAAGGTAAAAGGTAAAGGCCCTCCCGTTGATCGTCGATTTGCTCGAGCGGGCCCAGTAACGTCTCCATTGGAGACTTTGTTGTTACTGTGTCTGGCATATCAAATACTCTCGGTAGCTTGCTGGGCTCTCCGAGAGGGGCGGAGGAATCGAACTCGGGTCGGCCATGTTGGCCGCGTGCAAGGCAGATGCCCTACCCGCTGTGCTATCGCTCCATTTCTAAATTATATGGTATCCAAATTAAATGTATAAATACACATTTTCACTGGGATAGTCAGGAGTTGCACCTAGAAAACACCTCCTTTCCTCACGTACCTCATTTGTGGTCAAAGACAGAATTGGCCTGGTATTCCTCTGCTTCTGTATCCAATTAGTTGTCCAGCATTGCACTTTATTTCTGAAATATTTTTTCTTTTGGTATTTCAATGCTGTGATGGGTTAAAATGTGTTTCCCCAAAAAGGATGTTGAAGTATCTCAGATGACGATCATTACTTCCGAATGTGACCTTGTTTGGAAACATGGAACTTGTAGATTTGTTAGGATAAGCTCACACGGGAGAGCGTGGTAGGTCTCCAGACCAGTGTGATTTGTAACTTCATGTAGGATACTGTGTGGAGATAAGTTCAGGGAGAATGATATGTGAAGATGACACTGAGATTGAAGGAGGTCTCAAATAAACAGAGAAAAGCCAAATAGTTCTTACCTTGAAATATGTTGTTTTTGAATTTCAAAAAAATGACAAAAAGTTACAAAAAAATACAAAAAAATGTTTCCATTTCAGTATCTTTGAAATACAGAAGTGAAAAAACAGGGTCATATGGCCATAAGGCAACAGAACCAGTAGAGCTGGTTTATAGAATTGAGTTTACTGAGTGGGGCAGAGAGAGGGGTGCAAGGGCCTTTGGAAGTGGGGGAGGGAAGCAGACACTTGTTGGTGGGTGTGGTATTGGTCAAGGGACCAGTGAGTGCCATTAACAGTATTGTAAGTCAAGGTATCGCAATCTCCCTAAAAATGGGAAAGCAAAAAAGACAGGCTTGGTAAAATACTTTTTTAGATTTTGCACCAAGAACCAATCAAGATAAACACTTGATTTCAAACTTACAGTTTTCATAACTGCAAGATTTTTTACTGTTTTAAGCTATTATTCTGTGTAACATAATACAAAACAAAAACAGAAAACAGAATAAGAAGTTTGGAACTGTTTAGATATTTATTATGGACACTTTAAATCTCCAATTCTCCCTTTTTCTCTGCTAACATTAACCTAGCCATCCTTTCTCTCTGCTAACTTAACCAACCATTCTTTTTTTTTTTTCCACAGGCATTGTAATGATTTTCTCATTGTCTTCTGTGCACATTTTTGTAATTCTATACAGGATTTCCAAAAGAGAGCATGTTTTTTTTGTTATTATTATTATTATTATTAGCACAAAACTCAATAGTATCTTATCATTCTAAAAGGCACTATTTGATCAATAGTTCACAGTTCTTACAACTTCCTTCTTGGTACCCACTTCTTTTTTTTTTTTTAACCAGAAATGCAATGGATTTTGACTTTTCTGTGATTATCAACTCATTCCCATATTACACAAATTCTTTACTTGAAATGAGCATCCTCTTATGATTTGTTCCTTGTCATTTCACTAAAGTTTAAATATCAGTCTAAGTGTGTCTCCCTGACCATTAGACTAAAAAGACATACTGCTTGGTTTAAATTCCTGGGTATTTGAGAGTATTAAAAAAAAAGTTTTTGTATTGCTTACCCATTAAGTCCATAACTGTTCCCTCCATATTCCCTGCCTTAAATGAGTTTTATATAACCATGACTTATTTTGGACATCACTTACCCTTATTACCTAGGAAACTACTCGGTACCTGGGACTTCATACATCAATTCACTAATGAAAACTAGAGAACAGCTTCCTGTTCTCTTGAAGTTGAGTACTAATGGGGGAGATAAGTGAAGAAAGGACAAGAAATGACCATTTTATGAAAATGTGTTATTTTATGAAATTGAATAAGAGATGCCCTAAAATAAAAGATAAGGAAGTCTAGATGGTAGAATCAGACTTCTTAGAGAGTTTGAAATTTATGTTGAGACTGTAAAGAATTCCTAGCAGAAAGAAGGGCAGTAAGATTCCTGAAACTACCAAAAAACCCCAAGTCAGTGATTTTCCAGAAAATAAGAAAAGTAAAAGAATAAGAAAAGTACTGGAAAGCTAGTGAGGGACAAAGAATGGGAAAGATAATAAAGGAAGTGAACCAGCATTTCATTTAACTGATTATTTGGACAGAGCCTTACTATTTAACTGTGCCTCCAACCAGCAGCAACAGCACCTCTAAATTTAGTAAGTTGCACAATAATAGGAACACTGATTAAGTCTCTGAGAACTTTAAACAAGAGTCCCAATCATTTGTCCAAGCATCCATAGAAGACTGACACTGATGAATTTTAAGTGACAGATTCCTCCAGGAGGGGGATCCTGATATGGTACAGTCCCAATGAGAGATGAAGCTGGCTGTATAAGACAGCACAAATGAAGAGAAGGTCGATTTGGGTTAAACTTTGGTGCAAGCTGATTTAGTTTTTTTTTTTTTTTTTGCCACATAAACACAGATTTCAGCAAGCGCATAGTGACAGGAAACCAGAATTTTGAGAAAAGTTTAAGATTACAGATTCAGGTTCATAGGGTATTGTAGGTTCATAGGGTATCTGGCTTCTGAGTCTCCAGTGTTTTATTATTGAACAGAATTCGCATCCTGGCATCTTTCTGTAAATGCCTTTCTAAGGTTGCCAAGGCCCCCACCAACATTCACTTTAAAACAGTACCATTTTTCAAGTAACTTTCATCAAGTGCTTTTCATTAACTCCTTGACAAAACATGTTTTCAATGTTTTAAACTTAAATTCTAGGGTTGAAGGAGCCTCTTCGTCCCTCATAGCTCCCTACAAATCTCTACTCTTGCCTTCCTTGATACAGATATCCACAAACGTCAGGTTTCAGAGCTTTTGACAAAGGAGCTTGGATATTCCAGGGCTAGAAAGGGCATACATGGGTTTAGGAGCATCTGATGCACTCCGTTAAGATGGCACCACATCAGATCCCAGCCTGGGGCAAGGCCCCCTCGGGATACAGGCCCCAAACCTAACCCAACCCTGGGTTGGCGTGTCCAATTCTCTGTGCACAGCTTCAAGAACAAAATGAATCCTTGAGCAAGGAGGCAAGCAGTTAGTGGAAGGAAAAAAAAAAAAAGGAAGTTCCAGTGGAGGGGAGGAACCTCATAAATTGCACCTTTCTTTAGCCAAGTTAGAGGTCTGTTCGCTTTGTATTTTCGCCCCAACTTTGGGACTGAAAATGTGAAGGAGGATACAGTTGCATTTCTATTTCAGGCCTTTCCCTCTAACCACTTGGCACTTCAAGAATGCTTTCACTGTTGTCCTGTCTGTCACAACCACCACAAACCAAAGCGGCAAGCTCCCCCTAACCTTTTCCTCTCCCCAGTTTGCGGAGCGGAGGGGGGGAAAGAAAGCGGAGCGTTGGAAAGAAAACCCATCCAAGGGCATGGTTTCAAACCTCAGTGGTTAGCAAAAAGCCCCCGCACCCACCAGACTGTCCCGGGGACGCGGTTAAGGCTCCTAGCTCCAGTGGGAGCGCCTGCTGAAGAAGCGACCGTGACAGATCCGGCGACTATTTCTAGATTCCCCAAAGGAGAACTTTTTCACCTCCGGATTGACTAGGGTCTGAAAGTCCTCAGGAGCACAAGCTGAGAGTCGTGAGGACGGAAGGTCCCAGGAGCCCTCCGTGCAAGGGGTTGCCCCGTGCCCGTTTGGGGGTTTGAAAGCAAAGCGGAGAGGGGTTAAGTGGCCCCAGAAAGGACCCGGGTCAGAAGGAGGTGGTGAAATAAGGGCTAGCGGTGCCTTGAGACTGGCTGCGCGGGGTTCCCCGGGGTGCAGGGAGGCAGACGGACAGCGGGTGCCAGGCCCGGGTGCAGCGGTTCCAAGGTGCGCGGCGCGGGGTGGGCGGAGAGGCCCCCAGCACCCTCCTCTTCCTCTTCCTCCCACCCCCCCAGTTCGGGACGTGCGTCCCGGGACCTTCCCGCTGCGGGAGGTGGGGGTAGTAGGGGGGTGTGGAGAGCGGCCGAGCTCCCGGCTATAAAGGGCCCAGGGCGTCGTGCGGCTCCGCCCTCGCAGCCTCCGTCGGCCGCTCCGGCTCCCGCTCGGGCCGCACTCGACCCTCTCGGGCCTCGGCTACTCGGGCTGCGGCGGAAGATGGCGGCTGCCGAGACTCGGGCGGACAGCGCGGAGCGGGCGCTGGCGGCCGTGCCCGACTTAGCCCGGCTGCTGGAAATCGACCCGTACCTGAAGCCCTTCGCCCAGGACTTCCAGCGCAGGTAACCGCCTAACTGTCCCTCCCACCACCTCGCGGAGCCCGGGCCGCTCAGAAGCTTTTTTGGCGCTGAGGACCGACTGGGAGGGCCAGCGCGCCTCCTCGGGCGCTCAGGCCCCGCCCCGCGACGCCTCTTTCGCCCAATCTCGGTCTGGCTCTTTTCCGGAAGGGACCCGCCCTCCGGAGCCTAGCCCCGCCTCACCCCGACTAGCCCCGCCCACTTCTCCTGGCCCCGCCCCGCCGCCTGGCCCCGCCCACGACCGAAGGTGGTTGCAGCTTCTGAGTGTGGGCGTAGGACCGACTGGGTAACTGGCATCATTGACTTCCGGATTAGGAGGTTGACACCTCCCCTGCCGCTGAGTCCTGGACAGTTTAGAGTAAACTTTCCTCTCTCTCTCTCTCTCACTCCTGCCCCCCTCCGCTCTCTGAATCAGCACTTTGGAGCCATTGCGTACGTGCTTTGGCTTCTAGCACTCATTTCCTCAGGTACTCGTGCAGCTGGAGGCAATGCTCACTGCGGATTTTAGGCACCCGTCTTGTGCTGTAGTAGCCCGTGTGTGAGACCTGGCTTGGGTAATTGAGCGTTTAAGATGTTCTTGTTTATTTCGTAGAAATACTGTGATCTTATATCCAAGAGGATTCTCGCTCTTTTTTTTTTTATTGAATCACCATGAGATAGAGCATTACAAAATTGTTCATGATTGCATTTCAGTCATACACTTCCCGCTCACATTTCTCCACCAGTGTAATTTCCCAGCACCAGTGTCCCCAAGCACCAGCTTCCCTCCCACCCTCTGAAGTCACCCCCCCCCCCCACCACCCAGCCTGCTTCTGTAGCAGGCACCTCTCCTCTCAGCCAAGAGGAGTGTTTTGGGGCGGCCCCTGTTCATTCCTTGTTAATAGTCCCCTTCCAGGGAATACTAAACTCATCTTAATCACTCTTCCCCCTCTTGGGGTTGACACTGATGAGCAAAATTTACAGCTGCATTCATAGGTGTGTGGCACAACCATCCTACAAAGGGAGCAAGCCAAATTTCTGGAGGCTGGTTCAAGAAGTAGCAGTAATTTGTCTTGTATTATGTTGAATAAATTTGCTCTGCCATAACTTAGTTGCTGGGAAAATAATTATAGTCAGCTATATGTGTGTATATATGTAGTTTTAACAACTATGTATATGTATATATAGTCTTAAAAAATGGACAGCATACCACTTTAAAAGTGACAATGAAGTTCTACCTTTTTAGCCAAGCCACTTGAGAATGAAAATTTCTAGTTCAGGATTATGTGCACTGGGGAAGGGGAGGGGCAAGGGCCAGCAATATAGTGGATTGGGAGTTTAACACAAACACAATTTAAAACATAAAGATGTATTACCTGGAGTCAGTTCAGCAACTGTTTATTAGAGAAGCCCTGTGAATGAAAAGAAATGGGTACAAAGTTGAATTCAGTGTCTAATCCCAGACCACCCTTCCCATGAGTCAGTCTCAAGAGTTGCAGTTGCTACATTAATCAGATTTTTGAAACTTTTACAAGTTACTTAGGGAGTAAGCTTATGAAATTGTTTTCAGAATTTATAATGCGATATTTTTTTCAAAAAAGCATGACTTAATCTTTATAATTCAAGTTTAGATTAGATTTGGATTTAGATTTAGATTTAGAAATAGTCAGCACATTTTAGAGCAAAAGATGATGGCAAAGTGTTTTTAATATGCTTAATAGCATTGACGTTGATCTACTTGGTATGCTTTGTAAAGTGACAGGAAATTTCAAAGAGTCGTGGCAATGTTTTTTCTCCTTAACTTTTTTTTATTTTTTATTCATTTGTTTTTAATTTATTTTTATTTTTTGGGTCAGGGGTTACTCCTGGCTCTGCACTCAGGAATCACTCCTGGGGTGCTCAGGGGACCATATGGGATGCTGGGATTGAACCCAGGTCGGCCACGTGCAAGGCAAATGCCCTACCCACTGTGCTATCAGTCCAGCTGCTCTTTAACTTTTTTAAAAAGAAGAGAAGAACCCAACAGTTTCTAAGTAGACCAACATCTCTTGTTAAATTTTTTTCTGTAATTCAGTTTAACTCCATTTGGGAGTGATCCAATTTTGATTTTCTTTCATGCTTTGTCAAAACTAATGAGGAGGACAAAGGCCAGAATAAAGAAGTGGGGGCATTTCTGTGTTCTTGGTGAAAAGACTGGCCCAATGGGCCTTTGAGCCTCCCTCTGACCCCATTTCTACTTCTGGTCTTAGTTCTGAATAATTGCCATTTTCCAGCACACATGTTCCATTTAGGCATATCAAATAGTAATTTGGTGTTTGGCAGTGGTAACATTTACTATGAACATTGACAAATAGCAAATTCCTCCATAAAATCTAGTCCTGGTTACTTTTCCTTTCTGGTTATTTATTTATTTATTTATTTATTTATAACCTACCTAGATGCTCAGTGTGTCTTTGGCCTAACACAACATACAAGTCAACCCTATAGCTTTGAATCCAGCTCATGAAGAAAATTTAGGGGATCAAAATAGTATATAAGAATTGTGAAGGGGGAGGGGGAGCTGGAGCAATAGCATGGCTGACCCAGGTTCAATTTCCAGCATCCCACATGGTCCCGAGTACCACCAGGGGTAATTCCTGAATGCAGAACCAGGAGCAACCCCTGTGCATCGCCAGGTGTGACCCAAAAAACAAAAACAAAAAAAAGAATTGTGATAGGGAAGGCTATTTCTTTCTCTCATCTTTTTTTTTGGTGGGGGGGTGGGTTTGGGTCACACCTGGTGATGCTCCAGGCTTACTCCTGGCTCTGCACTTGCTGATGGTGCTTGGGGGACTGTCTGGGATTCTGGGAATTGAACTCAGGTCCAGAAATATGCAAGGTATATGCCCTACCTGCTGTACTATCACCCTGGCACTATCTCATCTCTTTACAGCCAAAACATAATTAGAAATTATATTAAGTACTGTCGTCCTGTTGTTCATCTATTTGCTCAAGCGGGCCCAGTAACGTCTCCATTTTTTTTTTTTTGAGACTTGTTGTTACTGTGTTTGGCATATTAAATACGTCATGGGTAGCTTTCCAGTGTGGGCGAGATACTCTCGGTAGCTTGCCGGGCTCTCCAAGAGGGGCGGAGGAATCGAACCCGGCTCAGCCGGGCTGGCTGCATGCAAGGCAAACGCCCTACCGTTGATGCTATTGATGTTTCTATTTACCACCTTTTCTATAACTCTAAGAGTATCAATTATGTGGACTAGTGAATACTGTCATTAAATAAAAGTTGATTTATTAAATAATGTATTAAAAATACTGTATATGATAGCCTCTGCAGTATCTCATTTAATGACCTTTAAAGATAGAATTTCTTTCCTGTGAGTTCAAGCTTGGGTGCATCCAATGGTGGAGAACTGTTCTCACAGGCCCCTGAATGAAAGGACAGGGTCACAGGCTAGTTACTAATCAGTGGCACTTATTCAACAGCTTTAGTTATATAGAAATCATGAAGGGTGGGGGTATGCATGGGTGTGGTTGAACATTATCATAACAATAAACAGATGGAAAGCCCTTCCTTTAGGGGATGTTCTTCTGGGAGATTAACTCAAGGACAAAAATCTCATCTGGGGTTTTAGCACTCTAGATTCTAGAAGATTAGTCAAGGGCAGGATTCCATCTAAGGGCATTTTGCTTTCTCCTTTCCTTAGTAATCCATTAATTTTTTAAATTGAATCACCATGTCTTCCTGCGTCTATACAAAAAGCACATTGCTAAACTATGCAAAGGACAAAAAGGAAAGATAAAAGCAATATATGGTGATGGGTGCAACTCAGTAAACCTCTGTGCTGCAAGAGCAAAGACAAACCAATGTTATCCAACACTTTCTGACTCTTCTGCTTTTTTCTTTTGGGGTCATACTCAGTGGTATTCCTGGCTTACTACTGACTGTATTCATTTAGGGTGCTGAGAATTGAACCCTGGTTGGTCTGTGCAAGGCCAAGCCTTTACCCCTCTACTCTCTCTTCATTCCCATCATGCTTTATTATTGTTATTATATTGCAGATTGTTGTGGTGATTTGGTGAGCAGTACTTCACCAGATGTGTACTCACAACACATCACTAGGTCAGATGGTGAACCAGTGTTCTAGAGTTTTAAACCTCTAGTCAATTCTTTCCTCAAGTGAGTCACTCAAGGCTCCAGACTGATGAACACTTCATTTTGAAATATGTTTCTACAATGTCAATGGCAAGGAGCACACATTATGTTGACTGTGCACTGTTTCTTATGGCCTTTGACTATCAGTGAGGAACTATTGCTGACATATTTTTTATTCCACTACAAGTCAGATGTGCCCTCTCAACCAAGAGTGGGGAACAGAGAATGGATGTTTATGAACAGTCAAAAGGAAAAGTTGTGGTAAAAGTTGTGGAAAATCTGTCTGTAATAACATCTTTATGTACCTTCTGTTTTAATTCACATCTATGTTATAATTGTAGATACATTGTACATTAATCCTCAATTTGCATATCCATTGTAGATCCATTGTATATTAATATAAAAAGTATAAATATGTTAATATATTTATATTAACATATAAATATGTTATATGTTAAGAGCCAGAGGTTCTTCGTCCTCTTAGCTATTTCTTCGACATTCTTGAAGGCGTTCCAAGCCGCTCTCTTCCTCCTGCGCAGCTCGGGTGCCAGGTCATTTGTCATGTTGACTTCTCAACCTAGGTACACATAACTGTTGCATTCGGAGATGGTAATTCCAGTGAGGGCGAATGGAGCATCAGGAACAAGGCTGTTTCTCATAAACATTGTCATTGTATGATTCAGCTATAGTCCGACCTTTCCACACTCACGGTTGAAGTCAGCCAGCATTTGTGCAGCTTGGCTAATGTTTGATGTTATTAGAACAATGTCATCAGCAAAGTGGAGGTGATGTAGTTGCCGACCATCTATCTTCACTCCCATTCCTTCCCATTCCAGTCGTCGCATAATGTTCTCGAGGG